GGCTCAACATAAATTTGGATGGATGGAAAATGACAAGCTGGTCAATTAGAGAAAAGCTCCATCTATCTCCCCCCTCTTTAAATAGGCCTACTTGAGGTCTGTAAGGGATACATTCTGGTTTTAATGTCCTTCTGTAAGGAGATCTATGATTCTCTTGGATCTGTCTTTAGACTCCCATAGAATCAGGTGGTTAATAACTACAGATTTACCTGAGGGGGTTTAAAGCAGACGTGGGTATAAAACAAACTGCTCTACTGGACAAGAACGACATATTGAAACTTTTGTATTTTACACAAAATTGTTAGTAAAATTGGTTCACTTGACTTTAACTATGGTAAGATCAGATTCTGCTCTGCTCAGAGGGAGCATTAAAAGTCCCCCAGATGAGCAACAGGAGGCTGCAGAAGAAGGTCTACCGATGGACTGATGGTTCGCCGGTGTTTGTCAGATATTTATGAGTGGGTTTACCTCCAGAGAGCGCTGAGTAAAAACAGATGGTTGTTTGAAAACAAACCTGTGATGACTCAGTAGTGTGAAGTCATGCTTTAATCAGCCATCATGTATGATAATTAACATTTCTGTTAGTGTTTATTCCTACAAATATTTGTTTTTCTTCACTATTCGGAAATTCTGATCCCTAGATGCTGTCGACCACTTTGTTATGAGAGAAACATTCACAAACTGGCTGGTAACAATAGATGCCATTTTTGGACGGAGGGACGCTGTCTGTTCTTTGCCCATCTTGTTAAACTCTGGATTTGTGTTACCAATAGAAAAACTCTCTTACAAAAGCTATCATAATGTTTGATCCATGTCAGTTAAACCTCAGTGGCCTGCAGCGTCTGCCTGATGTAAGGTTATCAGCTGTTTGTTTCCTCCAGGGACTACAGCTGCTGGCAGCTCTAAAAATGTGCCGGCTGGCCGGCCACACGTGTCAACACAGACAGAAACCCAGAGAACAGCAATGAATCTGCTCTCTGCTGTTTCTGTCAGACTGTTTACTTCCACGCGCTTGGTTCAGAAAGTGGCAAATTCTCTTTAGATTTGAGAGTTTATACTAAATCATATGTCTGACATCAGTGTTCGAACTTTGAAATATTGAAACCTTATAAATAAATAAAAATCTGTAGACCTCCAATCATATGAGTAACGTCTAAGGCCCCATCCACACGAAGACGAACCCTGGCCTAAACGCAAATTTTTCACCAAACCAGCCTCTCATCCATACGAAGCCGGCGTTTCGGGGGTCTGTAAACGATCTTTTTTTTATTCAGCCTTCAGAGTGGGAAGATTTCGAAACGCCGTTTTCGCGTTTCCATCTTAACGCTCTAACCGCATATTTTTTTTTGCAAGCATGCGTCATAGCGTCGCCTCTAAACACGCATGCGCGACCAGTATCACAACAACAATGGCGCCGTTGCTGCTAATGCTACTCACCCTGCTGTCGGGCTTACAACAGAATCTTCTTCTTCTGGAATATCTCCAGGAAGAACAGAGCAATATCGACGACATAGTTCAGCACCTGAATTTGACTTAACCACGAAAATGGACCCGCAGGGCAACCATGTATAAATATTAGTGCGCATGCCCAACATTTCGTCGCTTATTTTTGCTTTGGCACCACAGCGCCACTTACAGGCCTGGCATACATTTTGCAGCGTTTTCATGCATTCGTGTGGACGCTCACATTTATTTTACGTCTCCGTCTTTACGGCAAACGTTTTGGAAAATATCAGCGTTTCGTGTTCGTTTTGACTTCGTGTGGACGGGGCCTAAATGATCTGTCTGGGCAGATTCTTGAATCAGTGACTACAGCACAAGCACTAATGTTTTGCATTAATTAGGATTTACTGTGATTTATTTTAAGATTAAAATTGATTTTAAAGCAGAAAATCTCTGATCAGTAACCGGATGACCAGTTTGTATCCTAAACTAAAGAATAATGAGAGAAGGTTCTACAAAACTGTTTATCTCAGGGAGGACAGGATAATTAGTGTGAATGTTGTAAATTATAGTTTGCAGTCAGGGGTAATAAGAGTCTTCCTAAAAATAAACAAATAATCTAAGAGGTCTCAAGATGTTGGTGCGCATCGCCGAAGGTCATTGGAAGAAGAGCAGGTACATCCTGGACTGATTAACAGACGAACACAGGGCGACATGGAGAGAAAACAGTCCACTGACACAAAACGGCATGGAGGAAATAAACACTGTGCGTTTATCTTGGCAGTGCAGGCTCAGGTCTGTAAGATGTGTAAAGCCTTTAGGCTGAAGCAAACATACAGTTGTACCTGACCAGCCAGAGAGGAAACTTACTAACACGCAGATTATTTAATGGACATAAATAGTTCTGTGGTTTATTCCTTTAAAAGTTTTCTCTCATTTCAGTCAACAGCGATCTGCTCTGAAGGACACTGCCCAGTCCTGTTCTTGTTAGGATGGACAATTTATAGACGTTGATATTGGCGAATGTTGGTCACATATCAGATTTAAGGGTTTTGAAGAAAAAAAACACACCAAAAAAAGGTTTATTTTCATCTTGTTTGATGTGCATCTCCCCTGGGGTTGGAGGGGTTTGGCCACGTGGTCTTTGGTTGGGCCTATGAGGGTGAGGTAGTGCACGTCAGTTTACATGAGTTAAATAGTTTAGAAGTTTTCTGTGGTTTTTATTTTAAGTTATTTTCGACTTCTGATTTTCAGTTTTATTTTTGTTTCAATTTCCAAAACCCACCGGATCGCCGGCGACCCGTTTTAAAGCGTTTGCAAATAATTACTGAGAATGCATGAAAATTACTCTGTTTACCAATATAGGCATGTTAGACATTGTTGGAAAGCTTAGATTCTCCCCAATTCAACCACCTAGTTCATTTTATGGACATTGCGAGCCACAATTATAGCAATTATTTTCGAGAATACAAAAACAACTTTGAGTCATGTTTGAACTGATCCATCTTGGGCTTGATGCAGCTTGCACTGTGTTTTACTCACCAAATTTTAATGTATATATTCAGAAACTAGAAGGTGTAAGCTTTCAAATAATGTATAACACATGTAAATTGGGCTTACTTAGAGCAACACCTTGAATCTAGACCTCATATTTAAGCCTTATATTAAAGACACAAAGAAAAAATAAGCATTTCATCTCTTAAACTTTCAGTTAGTTCTGATTTTGTAAAAAGTTTTACTAAGTTTAGTTTTAATTTTTAAAAATCTTTTTCCATATCGGCATTTCATTAGTTTTAGTTAACCTTAGTTTATACATACATTCTGTGAGTGTTAGCTGGTCTAGTCTTCACCAGGGGGCAGTCTGAGTATGAACAGATATGCTGACGCAGCATTTCGCTGTCCCAATGCTCTGCTGTCAGGTTCAACTGAATCCCTGCCAGATGTTGGACCTTGTGGCTTTCTGGCTCTAAAGCAGGAGTAACACCAAGGCACCTGAGGCCTTGGTAGAATCGTTTCTTTTCATCGATCTCACCATGATGGTCCTCTTTGGGTATGCAGAACATGAACCAACACTGCATGTATCCCTCCAGATGCTAGCTGGTGTTGATGGGACAGAGAACCTGTGGTCAGTTTAGGATCCAAATGACTGCACAGATGTTAGATGCTTTCTTTAATGTTTGGTGAACATTACAATGATCTTAAGCCCCCTGAAATGTTGTAATGTGTCTAAGATGCATTCTGATTCAGTGGATTTTTAGACAATGTTTTAATTGGTAGATGCTCTGCTAGCTGCTAGCGCTCACTCTCAATACCACATTGCTTCCACGTGAGGAAAGTCTTCACCTCATTTGGGAGGATCTGAAGACACTTCCAGGCCAGATGGGATAGATATCATCCCTGTAGTGAGTTCTAGGTCTTCCCAGGGTCTGGTCATTGCAGGGCATGCCTGGAAAACTCAGTAGGGAATCTCACAGGAGACTTCCTGAACAGATGCCAGCACAACTTCATCTGGACTGCCCGTCTCGTTGACTGCTGGACATGAAACATGTCACAATATGTCAGAGATGTCCTTCTGAAGTAAAACATTTGCATGCCTCCTCTGGTTTACTTTTGGATCAAATTACATTTAAATTAAGCAGTTCCTTCTCTGCGCTCCTCCTCTCCTTTTGTTGGGTAGTGTGATGTAACAAGATCACCGATTTGTCAGAAAACCCTGTTTGCTGCTTTCACCATCATTAATTCAGGGGTGTGTCTGCCCCGTGGGAGCCTGGATTCTGTTTAACGGACAGGGCGTCTGTTGGTCTTTGTGTTTCTATGGGCGTCAGGCTTGGGCTGAATGAAAGGCCTGTTTCATGAATTGACGCCTCTGCAGCGCCGGACACAACGCTGCTGCTTTAAGTCAAGCCCTCATGAAATTAGATGTTTTGTTTTCCTCTCTTCTTATATTTCAATAGACTATGTAAATATCAATGGTTCACTACAGTGGATAGTTTTTGTTTTTTTGGAGCATTTCATAGAAATCAGATGTGGTCTGCTTGATTATCTAACTCTAGGCAATGATTTAAGGTGAAACTGAATGTGAGAAAGCCTGCTAGTCTCTGCTCCCCTCTGAGGAAACATCTTGGTTAAAAAAAATCTGCCAAGCATTGAACCAGCACAGTGCACTTCAAAAATGATCTAGAAATAAGTAAAATTTCTTAAATCAAGTGTATTTACCCTTAATTTTAGTAGGTAAATGGATGATTTCCCAAATGGAATGCGTATTTTTGCTCTTAAAATAAGATAATTAGATAATATGCACTTGTAATAAGACAGTTGCCTTTTCTTATTTTAAATGTAAATTGTCTTGTTCCATTGGCAAAGTGTCTCACTAACCTCCTCAATTCAAGAACAGATGCACTTATTTTAAGAAAAAAGTGACTTCCATTTTTTGCAGTGTTTTTAAAAACTAATACTCACCTTTTAATTCATGTATTCTCCTTCTGGTCTGACTGTTAAAATCAGCTGCTTTGTGTAGCTTTGTTGCTAATCTGGTGTTCTTCCTCTTCATGTGTCAGGGAGAACCTGGCCAGTGACATGTACCTCATCTCCCAGATGGACAGCGACCAGTACGTGCCAATTGTGACGGTGGCCAACCTGGACCACGTCAAGAAGCTGAGCACTGACGTGGAGCTGATAGTAGACATTTTACGATGTGAGTAAAGCCCTGTTATCACCCAGCCACGCATCATTCACCTGTTTAACCACCAGTTGAAGACAAACAGCGTGACGTCATTCAGGGGCAGCAGCCCCGGAGGAAGTGGCTCAGACTGATTTCCCAAAGCAGATTATTAAAGCACAACCATCAGTCTTACCTGCCTACATTTGATTTAAACAATTTACAGCCTAAATGAAAGCTACCTGCCTTGAAGGCTTGTTTTTTTTTATGGCTCATCGATCTGCATCCTGTCAAGATATTAAAAGACAGTGAAAGCTGTAGGCTAACTACTGGAAAGCTTAATGCATTAACATTTGATCATGAATTATTTTCCTGTTAAATGTTAGAGAGCTGTCACTGTTAAGGAGTTAATAATCCATAGAGATAATAAATCAAAAATAATTATTAGTTTTATTCTTCTAAATTTAAAGCAGAAACAAGTGGATTATTGTCTAATTTAAACCAACATCTTCAATGAAAGTACTACAGTGTTAACCAGTGGTCAACCATGCAGCACGACCAAAACATGACAGAATTATATAAAAAAAAAAACTATTAATTAATTTTGTCATCCTGCAGCTTTGCCATTGGTCCAGGTGGATGAGAAGGGGGAGAAGGTGCGACCCAATCAGAACCGCTGCATTGTGATCCTCCGAGAGGTTCCAGAGAGCACACCTATAGAGGTCAGCGTTGCCTTTACTGAGTCACAGAGTATGGAGACTTCTGAGTCCATATCCTGGACCTGTCCGGTTCTTAGATGGACTCGCCCGGAATAACATATCTTAGCTGCTCTTCAAGGGTTTAATAACCTGTCGTAATTTAATACTTTAATGTACTTTAGACTTGGAACTTATTTGTCCCTAAAAACATTGTATCTTCAAGCTTTTTCAACGTTTTTATTTCCATCCAAAATGTCACGTTTTCCATGCGGATATTGTTTGTAATGTTTTTATTTTTTATGGTTTAATGCTTGATCTGTGCGTCTTTGTGACATGCTTTCGTTCTCCTAAACCATATATGTTCCTATTGTTGTTTTCCAGGAGGTGGAAGCCCTTTTCAAAGGGAACAATTTACCCAAGTTTATCAACTGTGAATTTGCCTACAACGACAACTGGTTCATTACCTTTGAATCTGAAGCAGATGCTCAGCAGGTAACCGTCTGAATCTCCTCAGCACCTTGATTTATGTAGTTATTGACTGAAAAGGTGATAATATCTGAGATTTGTTTTCAAGTTTTTTTTTTTTTATATATATATATATAATTTATATTTGCGGAAGTGTGGAGAAATATATTTTTTTATTTTTTTTGTTTACATGATAAAGACCTAATCAGAGCCCTTATTTAAGCTGGTTTTATCTGAATGTGAGCAGTACTGTCAGGGGTTCCTTAATCTTCTACCTCAGTTTTTTCAGTCCTCAGTAAATTAACCATTCGATTTATCCAACTAATATTTGTTTCATCAGTTCATCACATCATCCATTAATCCATCCTGTGCTTAAAGGTATAGTGGAGGATGTTCTTTTTCCAGGTGGATCATCTAAATAACTTTTGCTCCTAATTGTCAAACATTCTGGTGATATGTTTACGTAAGGCCGCGCTACGTGCTCGTCCTCAGCTAGCAACCTTTTTCTGCGCATGCGCACTTTTATGTGGTGAGCTCTGGTTTCAGCCAGTCATTGAAGCTCGCCTTTCTCACAGCGGCTCTTTGAAAATGGCCAAGGGTCGTAAAAGAAAAAGTGTCTACGAAGTGTTTGAGAAGAAAAGAAAGACCTCAGAAGAAAGAAAAAAGACCAGGATGTTTTTTGGGAGATTCTTTCACGCGATGGCATACACTGAAAGCACAGGTCGGGCTTCCCACTGATGCAGCGGTTGAAAAGTTTCTACTCGACAGGTAAAGTTTGGCATGCTATTTGGAGAAATCTACCTCTATATTGTAACATTCCGGGGAAGATGAGTTTATTTACTTTGTAATTTGCATCGTTAGTAGTTATAAGGTGGCCATAAATCCTTATTTACCCAAATGTGTCCAAATTTCCACTGCAGCACACACACATACGTGCAGGTCATACATTTTTTTTTAATGTACTAGTAGTCTTATTTGCGCGGAAACTTTTTGTATGTAAATATGGGTGAGATGAGATCCATATGAGCGACAGTGTTATCATTGCGTCCCCGCATTTCCCCGACTAGAAATGGGCTCATGTATGCTCTTGCACGTGTTTAATAGACGTTCCCTCTTAGGAGCGGGTACAGGGTTGCTAAAATCCTCCACTATACCTTTAACCTTAATGTTATTATTTATTTCAATGTGAAAAGTGGTTCATTTTGATATGGAATCTGGTTTTAAACTTTCGGACTGAGCTGAGTTGGATCAACAAGCCTTCCTGACTCTGATTAATGTTTTCTATCGATGGGATTTTTCTTGTTCTCCAAAGGCATATCAGTATCTTCGTGAAGAAGTGAAGACCTTCCAAGGGAAGCCAATTAAGGTAGCGGACTGAATTATTTACTGCCTACAAGCGTTTATCACCTACAGCCTGACTGTTTAATTTCTGATTATTTTATGGTTTAGATTGTGTGACTTGGATAGTCACTTCTGTGTGACTTTCTGTGTTTAAACAAGATTAGTTTTCTTTTTAAAAGCATCAGAGATAATTAGTCATTTATCATCATCTGTGTCAGATCTGCACAGGTCATGGATTGTTCATCTCCAAGCTCTTAAACAGTGGAGTTTAATAATCCAGGTTATTCTGGCTCACACTTAGCAGCTTGCTGAGTGACTTTGATGAATACTTTGATTGAAAGGGCTGACATCTGTTTTAGATCTTCATCAACTTTTAATTCAGCATGTTTGCACATGAGTAAACATTTATATTTAATAACCAGAGTGGCAGAAGAACTGTCTGCTTGGTGTTTGGGCACAGATAGATTTGATCTAAACCCAGATTTTATAAGAGATTCGAATGTTTGTAGCAATATCACCTTGGTTTGAATTTATCAACATGCATGTAGATGCTTTATCTTTTATAAACTGTCAAATTCATTTTAGATTAATATTCAGGTATAATGAATACAATCCGTAAAGTTCAATCCGTATATTACTTTCTTTTTTTTTTATTGGTAACAAATGGTTCTCTTGAAAAGGTTCATGGATCCAGCTAAATCTCCTCTGAGTTCATCCCCATGGTTTCCGTTTGCTGTGATCTAAAGCTATGAATCTCCACCCTCCCTCAGGCGAGGATAAAGGCGAAGGCAATCGCTATCAACACTTTCATGCCAAAGAACGGCTACCGGCCAGTAGAGGTGAACCCATACGCCCAGCAGCGCTACACGTCCTACTACATCCCACCTGTTTACAGCCCGCAGCAGCAGTTCCCTTTGTACAGCCTCATCACGCCGCAGGCCTGGTCCACGCACAGCTTCATCGACCCAGGGCTGGTACGGACCGCAACACACACAACCCACATTTCACTACTCAGAGTGGCTGAAATATTAGCGCAGAAGAAGAAAGGCTGATGAACAACATGCAGGTTTAAGCTATTTAAGTAAAATCTTGGCAGTACAGAAGATGTTCTATTGGGACAAGCAGGGTGGGAAACAATGCAAAGAAAAAAAGCTTTTTTGTTCAATCTTTAAAAGTGTTTCTCTAATGTCAGCTGATACCCACCATACCTGCTAATAGAGTTTAATATCTGCCTGATGCTAAAGCGAGGAGGGAGAAATATAAAAGCAGGATGTATTAGTTGTTTTAACACTAGGACTCCCAAGGCCGTCATTTTGACAGTTCTGAGATTTTAAAGGGAAATAACTTAATTTCCATTAATCGTATGTTGTTCATGTTAACTGATTTTTCCTGTTTCTATATTTCCTTCATTTTCATTTAGTTTTTTAAATAAAATAAAAATAAATAAAAAAATAAATATGGTTCATTTTACCTCGATCTCCCACAGTTGTCATTTTGACGGCTCTATTAGTTGCATTGTAAATTCTTCCCACAATAATTGGCGTTCAGTACCGTTGCCTAGCAACCCACGTTCTACCTAGATCTCTTTGGCTAATACGGAAAAATGGCTTTCAGAAGAAACCTAACAGCGAAACAGGCTTTAGAAATGCTTCAAAATATTGATGGTAGCGATCCGGGCGGAGAGGGAGAAACTGATGAGGGGGACTGGGTAGGAAGCGGCTCAGATTCTGACAATAATGAAACTTGTGTTCAAGTTTTGGATAGTGATGCCCACACCTCCGCTGGTACACTCAGTGGCCCAAAAGCCAAACCAGAGCCCGTGTTTTGTTATAATCGCAGACAGGATGGCGTGGATGTGTCGGATCAGATTATGTAAGCGCTCCAACGCGAAGGTGGCCTGTGGCTGTACTTTACGATCTCCTGGACATAGCAGCTATAAATGCTTTGGTTTTGTTCGGGAGCTGTTGAACATCATCGTCCCAGGCACAGATTTTATTCTTGAACTGGTAAAACTACATGTGCTCTGCAGGTTAGCAGCCCCTTCGCCACTGAAGAGCAGCTTTGGCGAGGCAAAGGAAGAAGCGCCAGGTGCTTCAGCGCTAAACAAAAAAACGCTCTTATGTTTGTCATAAATGTAAAAAGGTCCTGTGCGGTAAATATTGGTGAATAATCAATCAGTTTCTTTAAATCAAATTTTTATTTCAAACTTTGAACCTGTGTAGTAAAACAGTCCTTTTTATTTTACTGATTTATTTTTAATAAAAAAAATTAGACCACAAATAATAAGAGCATACAGTGCAGGCTTTAAAAAATATATATTAGACCTATTTTAAGGTTTACATTTATATCGCACACTAGAAGCATCTCAGTTGATGACATCATCACTACTCATGCGTTCCATTGGTAAAAATGTCCCCCATCAAACTGAGGGCCAGTGGGAGTTCTAGAAAGATCAGAATTCTGTGAGTCCTAGTGCTAAATGGTGTAGATTTGCCGCTCGTGTTCAGTTTCCTAAACCCAGAGATAACTTGACATGAAAACACTTCCAGAGTGTTTCAGGTTCTTGAAGTTAATGAATGAATGAATTTCCCAGGTCACGCCCTTTCACAACAACCAGTTCATCAATGGGTTCACCACGTCACACAGCTTCAAACCAGCATCATCACCGCTCACCGTCAGACACTTCTCACCCAGGAACAGGTTGGTCTCTAACCGTTGGCTGCTCTGCCTCAGTCAATCTGTTATATAGATTAGTGATAAGTTTTAATTTTCCCCTCAGGAATCACAGTAAACCCCACCTGAGGCCGGCCATCCCCACGGCAGACCGTACCACCGGGCTCCTGGATAGCCCCAGCCTCTTTCCCAACTTCCCCTCTGAGAGGCTGAACGGCGTACGCAGCAGCCCGCCGACGCGGCTCCCCTCCTCTCAGCCCAGGACCAGGTTACCCTCCACAGCGGCCTTCCCTCGCAGAGACGTCGCGGGCACAGGACGCGCGACCGAACCTCTGATTCCAGATTATTCCCTGGGAGTCGGCCGGGGAAGGTAAATCTGTCCTCTGATCGGAAACCAAATGCTTTTGTTGGACGGAGATGGTTTTATTCATCTCCAAAACTGACAATTATTTAGAAATGGTCAGAATAGAGAAATGTTTGAATCTGCAATGAATAGGATCTCAATCGTTTTTTTTTACCTACAGTTTGTAAAGATAAACAACATGACTTTATGATTTATGAGCTGATAACAGACTTGATCAGTTACAGAATCATTATTTGGTAGCTTCCAGCTGTTGGTCTGAGGTTAGCTGGTAGGGATGTTTGTAAATTCAGATGTTCTCTTTCTTAAAGGAAAAATCTTTCTGCTTCTAGGAAAAAGAGGGATGAAAAGTTTACAGTAAGTGCTCCACTCCTCTCCATATTCTCAGAGGCTCACATGTTTGATGCTGCTGTTGCTTCTCCGTTCTTCCTCTTTCTGAGCCGACTCTGTTTATCGCCGTGCAGAGAGCCGCTCCTCAGTCGCCACCGCCTCCTCCCAAACCTCCGTCTCCAAGCTTCGAACTCGGCCTCTCCAGCTTCCCCCCGCTTCCCGAAGCAGCCGGACAGCTCAAGGCTGACGAGGCGTTCGACAACCGACTGGGGAGCAGTGTGGTTGTTGGAACCACTAAAGAACGGGTAAAAACTGCAACCTTCAGGTTTTATTTTTTTTTATCTGTCATCTGGACTGATCTCTTGCTGAGGTTGTCAAGGACCAAAGTCCTGCATGTTTTAAATGTGTTGATGTGCTGCAATGCAGTCCTTGAGATCCTGGAAAATTGTGGAATTTAATTGTAGGAATTTCCAGGTCTGAACATTTATAAAAATAAATTCCTTCCATTGTTGTAATTTTTTTATAAGTTGTCTGGAAAGGTGAGGGTTTGAACATGAATATGTGGAGCTTTGATCACCTCCTTACTAGTAACTAGGAAGCCATTTATTCAGGTCAATGGTTTATCAGCAGAGAAGCATCATAAACATTCAGAGCACTGAGCCAAATACTCAAACACTCAGCATTTGGTCTTTCAGCGTCTCATTTTTCAGGAACTGTTCCTTTAACTGGTTTTTCTGTCGTTGCTACAGCATGTCAGTGCAGACTCCAGCAGCAGCGCCCTCCCTCCAGCGGGTCCCAAAGAGCCCCTTCGGTCCTCCGCCTCCCCGCTGCCTCCAAGCTTCCAGCCCTCACCCACAACCCCAACCGCTCCCCCAGCCTCGACCACAGCGACCACAGCCCCCAGCATGCCGCACAGTCCCGACCCCGCCGCCTCACTGTAAGGGAGATACGGACAAGGGGGAAGTCAGGATTATACAACCTCTCCGCTCTGATGTCCGGGGAGAAGATATCTCGATATCTCGACAAGATAGCTCGATCTTTACCAGTTTCCTGTTGGCATTTCTGTTTTTCAGGGAGGTTACCGAGGTGAAGCTGAAGGAGGCACAGCCATCTGTGGAGCGCGTTCCCGGTACTCTGTCCACCTCCAGCAAATCGGTGCAAGTGAACGGCGCTGCCACGGTCAGTATGCAGCTTCACTCTGATCTCATCTCCTTCACCTCAGAGCTTCTCCGTCACAAACTAAACTCCTGTAGAGAATCGGGTTCGTTTGAATTTCAACGATTCCTGGTTTGGATCCAATTGATTCTCTGTTTCCATTCTAATTAACATTTACATGTCATAAATGAGTTGACTAACCAGAGTTTTGTTTGGATGAAATGGTCTGAACTCCATGAAATGTAATTTTTTAACATTACGATAAACAGTAATTTTCAACCAGTATAAAAATACATAACATATAAACTCTTATAATCTTATTGATTTTATTGTCACAGTTTCTGATGCTTCAGATACTTAAGACTAGGGCTGGGCGATAATTCAAAAACGATATATATCGATCGATAGACGTGTGGCGCAATAGAAAAAAGGCGGGTCGATAAAAGTTCATTTATTTATTTGTTATATTTATTTTGGTCACTTTTCTGGTCACTTTAGTTTATTCTTTGTCAGTATTTAATAAAATAACTCAGGTCTTTTAAGTTATTTTTCTTTAAAACAATTCTGTTATGGTTAAAAAAGTTGGTTAAATAAAGATTTAATTGGAAGTCTGTGTTTGTGTTTTTTATTAAAATTAAATCATTTAGCAATATTATAAGTCCAGGCAGAGCTGCACATAAAATATGGTTTCAAATCTTTTCAATAATTATCGATATCGATCAATATGCATTTTTTTTTATCGATAAGCTTTTTTTCTATATCGCCCAGCCCTACTTAAGACTATTTTATTAATCTGATTCTGACTATGATACTATGCTGAGTGTCTGAGCTGGAGGAAACTGCAGCACAGCAGGAAGGCATCCTGACAGAATTTATATCTTTAGCCTTGTTTACTGAACCTCAGCTCTACTAAATATGACATGAAAGTAGTGATTCTTCTCTTTTATGGAGAGAGGAATGAATGGATCTAATAACTAATCATTCAGTTGGTGGGTTTTATCATATAAACATAATTCAAATAATCTAAATTAGAGAATTATTTGAAGTTTGTGGGGAGATCTTTAAGCCACATGGTAAAAAATGCGTCAGAAAAGATCTCCTACTGCACCTTTAAACCTGTTAGCACGTTTTTTTTCTTAATCGTCCTTTTGACTAAACACTTGCTGCATTATGCAAGTTAAGTTTTTGTTTTGTTTGTGTATGTTTTGTCTAACTTGGTGATTTTAATGATTCAGTTTTGCCAGATAACAGTTAAAGCATTTACCCCTAAATTCAAAAAATGAACAGTAAGTCCATGTGATGAGCATTGATTGGTATCAGCTGTGATCGGCTCCTTACAGCAATCAGGTTTGGAGGCAAATTTCCAGATTGGAGCATCCTTAATAAAAAAACGCTCTCCTCTCCCTGCTGAAGCTGCTTTCTGAATTAAGAGGAGAAAACCATTCCCTCAGGGAGCCCACCCTACAACGGCTTTCAGCAGGTCAAAGATTAGCTAGGTGGTCATCTGTCATGTTGGCCATGATGTAATCCCATCACCAATGTTGCAGGTAGCTGACTGGTCATTTCCTTAGTTAACACGCAGCTGCTGCAGCTTGTGTTTCCCGTCAGCGGACCGGGCATGAAGACTAGGAATCTAAAATAATAATAATAGAACGATTCTGGGAGAATTGAAAGGTTTGAACCGGTTGGTTCTGATGGATTATGGATTCTCCATGTCTAAATGTCTCTGGTTATAGACTAGTTTCACTGTTTTTCTGTGACTCTGTTGTAAAGCATCCCAGCATGTTGGATTCAGATGTTTGCAGAAAATGTTCACAGCTGCTGGTTTCTCCTGACAGGAGCAGAAGAAGCCCTCCTACGCTGAGATCTGCCAGCGAGTGAAGGAGAACCCGACATCACTGCACTCTGCCCCCACCAAGGAAGCAAAGCCAAGCTGCGCTGCCCCCGCAGGCGAGGAGAGAAAGTGCACTGACACCCCCACCCCATCAGGGGAGCACAAGGCTAGAGAGACTTACCACCCCTCCTCCAAAGGCGGCCCTGCCTCCGTCACCCAGGGCAGACCGTTAAAGGAGGGCCGAAGGCCGGCCGGGCGGTGGGCCTCCCCGCCCCCACACCCAGGAAAAACCTCCAGCAAAGATGCCCACCACACCCCACCCAAGTCCCCTCAGTAAAGTGGCTCCTGGCCCCTCCTCTTCCTCCACTACGCTCCACATATGAGTTTAAAAAACAGAAAATAAGTCAGGGCTACTCAACCTATATCCCAGTATCACCAGTCGGCAAACAAGCATAGAGGACGCCTTCTTTTCTGGATCAGGGCTTGCAGACATTAAGCACTTTACCGTGCATGTAGAGCACTGTCTCTTCTTTTTCTTCTTTTAGTTTATTTATTTGATTTTTGAAGGAAAAAAAAATTCCAGATCTTTTTTTATTTGCAGTTTTTTTCCCTCTTTTCTCTGAAGTCTTCAACGTTGAGGATTGGGGTTAAAATGGGTCTGCTGTGTGAGAAAGCAGGGCATTGTGGGCAGAAAGCCCAGCAGATGATGGGGAATCAGACTCCACCTTGTCAGGTTTTTATTTTGACCCAGTTGTTTGGGGCATGTTGAGTGGCGCCGAATCCACATGTTCATTAGGAGCCTCTGTTTTTCCTCATTATTCCATCAAACAGCCAATAATCTGATCCTTAACGTCACTTTCTCCACTATTTACACTAACATTAATATCTTTGTTGTTTCTTCCCTTTAGCTGAATCTGCTGATTTTGACTGTTGTTACTGATAGTTACCACTGGGTGTCACCCTTGCTGCTTCTTCCTGTACAGAATCGCTTCTCTGTGCGTTTTTCCTTTTCCCCAACCCTGTCTCTAGTTCAGACCTTTCTAAGGGAAGAAATCTGTTGAGAAGAGGCTGGACGTATTTGCCTGCTTCAGTTACAGTTTATCAGTCTGATCTGCAGAGATGTACTGGAAACAGAAGTGAGATGCATGCTGGGTTTAAAAGTCCATCATCGGATCTGGCTGGTTTCTATCTGAGCTGTCAGGAAACACTGCGATGCATGATGGGATTAACACTAGCTAGCAGCCGGATGCCCTGTTTTCCCTTTGTTGGATTATCCGCTGACCCTGAAGCAGCTGACCCGGCAGGGAAAACTCAATGTGGTGCACTGGTTGTGGTTCTGACCATTTCTCCCAGTAAACAAGGCTCGATGTGGATTCCCTTTGCTCTACGACTCAAGGGGAACAGGAGAAAGTTTGTTTTCCAGCATTTTCTTGTGGCTTTTGTCAACTTCTGTTGGATATTTGTTGGATTTAGGAGTTTGTCTGGATTTCTCCTCCTGGAGAACTGCGCATGTAATCAATGAATCTAGAAAGTGGAGAAGCAGGAATAAACCTGTGATGGTTTTAGGAAAGTAGAGCAGATGAAGGTGAATGAACCAATTTTGGTTTGTTAAGATGTTAAAGAGTCTTAAGCAGGTTGGTTTTGGGCAGGAAACCCATCAGGAAAGTTAAATGGAAAAAAATTATCCTGGATAAAGTTGAATTCAAACACTCTTGTCACATTTAGTTTTCTACTTCGATGTGTTCGGCTGTGGGACCTGGTTAGGTTTCTCCTGGTTTGTCTGTGCTCTAAGTGGGAAAAGTCCTTTCCTAAGAATTTGAATAGATTGATGTAAGCACACAGCATTATTCCCGCCTCTCTGCTCCCGTTTTTCACCAGTTCATTAGCAGATTGAAGCACAGACTTCGAGGACCCAACATTACCTCGACCTGAAGCCATAGCAGCTGTCACTAATGGCTAAACATGGGAATGAAGTAGTAAAGAATCCACCGTTCAATGCGGTAATTTGGGGGATATTTGTTCGGTAGATCTGTTTACCGTAGCAGCCATTCTGGCAAAAATCTTTAAAAATTCAAACAGTTGTGAGAAAAGTTAGATTTTTCCTTTTTGGAGGGTTGTGACGCTCCCTTCTTGCTCATCAGTTGTGTGCTCAGGTTGATGTTTGAAAATAAAAAAACCACTTCGCTCTGATATCTGTCTGGAAAAAACACCCGTCGCCACATCCCGATCAAGTCTTCCTGCAACAAAAACCCCAATTAAGGAAAAACAGGCGCCCATTCCGAAAAGGGAAAACCTTTTTTTTTTTTTTTTTTTTTTTTTTTTTTTTTTTTTTTTTTTTTAATGCTGCTTTGATTTGGACTTCAAAAACAAACAAAAAAAACTTAATTTCGTCTTTTGTTTTGAAGGACTGAAATGCACTTGGATGGATTGATTTTTCTTTTTTCTTTGGTGGAAAATGATGAAAACTTTTCCACATATTTATAAAAGCAGTGCTGTTTTTTTTTGTTTTTTTTTAATGAGACAGTTTTGGGGGTGGGCCATGTTAAAGTCTCTGTACTCATAAAATGTATTAAAAAAGAGAGAAAATCCATCCAGTGTTTGAAAAACTTGAATTTTATTTAAACTTGAAAAATAACTTTGCCTTAACTTTTCTACAAGAAGAGCATCAATTTTTTTTTTCTTTTCACTGACAAAAATCCCCCCGATGAGCTTAATGAAGCGAAACCGTAGAAAATATTTTGTGTTTAAGTCTTATGTTAGAGAGAAAAAAAGAAATCTTGCAGCGTTTACTTTTCTTTTTTTTTCTTTTTGTGTAAAAATTGTATGAAAGATGAAAACCAAGGTTTTGCTTCCTCGTTTTAGTTTCAGGTTGTTTTTCTTAGTACTTTTTTTTGGGGGGAGGGTTGCGAGGGAACGTTATAAACCTTGTAAATGCAACTAGTCCAAACTGTATTAAAAATGTGCACTTTCAAGTATGTGCTTTGCTTGTACAGTTGTAAATACTCAGAAAACTATAAGAGGTACCTTAAAATGATTATAAAAATATATTGATCCTTGTTAACTATAATGTCGCTGGATGTAGGATATATAAAAAAAAAAACAAGTGTTGTTGTGCTTTTGGATTTTTATTTTTTAATGATTAGTTTGCAGAGTTTGATTTCTGCTTAAATGATATGTTTTTGTTGTCTGGCATTCCATCGTTGTTTTTTGGCTCCGCCTTCGCCCTCAGGTGAGCCTGTGACCCCACTCCTCCTCATCCTCAGCCAGCAGAATTTGGAGAAAACCCAACCGGCGTCCTCTTTACCAGCCCAGCTTCTCTTTCACTGCAGATTTTCAATATTTAGCATCAGATTTGAGCTTTTTTTGTTTAAAGTCTGAATGCAGTAGCACTACATATTTATTCTCCACACATCAGCAGCAACCACAAAAGGCTCCAAAGTCAGGATGATTAGATTTAATTTAAAAGCACAAAAAGTATTATGACATGATGTGCATCTGAACACTAAGATTCAAACGTAAACAAACTGTAAATGGCTGAAAGTTTCCATCCTTGTTGGAAAGGAGACATTTTAGATGAAGAAATAATCTAAAATGCAGCTAATGAGAATCTAGTTTTAAATGACGGCTAAGGTGTTAAAAGCTTATTATAAACTTTATCTTATTGTCAAAGTCTGCATCAAATGGAGTTTAAAATTTCTCAAAGATCCCTGACATCATCTCTCTGAAGCTATTCTTGGTGATGTTTGAGATTAAATTAAATTATTGTTAAGAAGATTAGAGAAATTTGGTTTGAATTTGAAACATACTGTTGATTAAATTTGATTTAACTGGATTTTTTTCACTTCCAATATTAAACCAGGGAACCCTGATGAGTTGAAGATCATTCCCCAGAAAGCCAGCAGTTTCCCATAAGAACCGAAAATCTGAAGCTGGTGAAAGAGAAGCTTGTCTGACAGTCGGGTTTAAACTGAATTAATCCCGACCCGTCCAGATACAAACAGCAATGCTCCAGGGACACGTCTTGATCCTAAAGCACATTTCCACCTCATCAGCTTGTGCAGCAGGCGGCAAATGATTCCCTAAAGCCTCCGCAGTGGGTCTAAGATGAAATGTTGAAAAAGGAAAAGATCTTCCCACCTGTTTTATGCGAGACGGAGAAAAACTTTGCAACTTCTTGTGCTTTTTTGATTTTTTTTTTCTTTTTTACTTGTCTTCATGATTGATGTACAAATAATTCAATGCAGTGCTTAACTGGAATCACTGATTAGTTGTTTATCTATTGGTTCTGTGGCACATTTCCTGTGAAAAGCATACAGCCTGCTGTCTGTGTCCTAACTGAGCTGAGACATCTCATGATGAGAGCTGAGGACGCCTCCGACTGCAGGTGGAGGAGCATCCCTGGGCTTCTGAACGTGTGCATGTTAGGAGAATGAGACTCTGGACCTCAGCCTGGATGGTCTTAATGTTCGCCTCATATCAGCCCATCCTCCTCCTCCCTGTTCTCACGGTGCCATTCTTTCTTTGGGTTTTTCTCTCTGGCTGCATATCTCGTCAGAAAATGTGACTTTATCAAAGACGTGACGACGAGCGCACGACGTGGGACTGGATACTGGGACTTGTTGGTCAGCTCACTGTGGTCTAACTCATTAACACCCTTCCTGAGCTAACAGCTGTGGACAATCGCCGACTCCCCACCGTGGCGGGGTTCGGACACAAGACTTTTAACACAAGCAGGATGGCGGTCGCAGCAAAGAGGGCTTCTTTTGGTTGTTTTGTTTTTACTTTCTGGGTTATTTGTTGTTTTTTTTTTCTTCCATTGAGACTGGAATCAAACGTACATGTTGGCTCTAGATAATTTAAGTTACTCCTGTGTCATGACGTAAAACTGTCTAATTTGGAGAGAAAAAATGTAGCTTAATGAAAATAAAGATTTAGGCACTGTTGAAGAGCCAATGGTGTCTTCTTCTGTGGTGTTTATTCTGTTTCACTCAAAATAATTTTATCCTGGAACTGGTTTTTGTAATATTAGAAATTATTTAAAGCTTCAGAGACACTGGATTTTAAAGAATCTGTTCTTTTTTTCTCTCCTCTGTCGCTGAGCAGTGCTGCAGAGTGCAAAAGCTTAGTTTATTCCCCTTCACAGGTTGATGATTATGTTGATGGGGTTGCTAGTTCTCTGCATACTGCCTTAGACAAGCAGCCCCTTTGAAAATGAAAACTGTTAAAAATAGAAAGCTGGGTCCCTGGTTTAATGCAGAGCTGTGCTCTCTAAAGCAAAATAATTTACTGCTGTACAAAAGGACCCTTTGTAAAGCAAGAGCAACATCTCATCATTAATAGAGGAGAATAAGAATAATTCTAGATTTTTTATTTATTTTTTTATTTAGAAAGACAGATTTCTATCACATCAGTAATCACAGCTTCATCCATTTAAGATTATAACGGGATATAAGCAGAAAGTCCAAGTGATTTTGTCCATGTTGCCTTTCTGGTATTTTTTACAGAATATCACTAACTTAATTGTAAAGATAACAAAAATGAACAGAAGTAAACAATAATGGGGATTGCACCACCTCGAGTAATAAAAACCACAAAGACATAAGAGGGCAACACATATTTCAGAAGATCTAATTGGTTTCACATACTCAGTCCATTTGGACCAAATCTTATAAAAATTTTATTTTTCTAATTGGAGGGGAAAAACAGATCCTTTCCATCACATAAATCTGGTAAACAATGTCAATCCATCAATAGTGGGTGGGTCTGGTTTCATCCATTTCCTTGTGATGGCCTTCTTACTGGCAGCCAGTTGTGTAGCCAGCAGTTTTTTGTCTTTGTTAATCCATGTGTCCAATTGTAGATTGCCCAGATACAATGTTTCACATTTTAATGGAATACTTACATTACATTGAATATATCTTCAATATGTTTGTGGAACTCTTCCCAATATGCTTTGATTACCTGACAGTCCCAAAAGACATGAAAGCGTTTGGCTCCTTCAGACCCACAGAGTCTCCAGCAGGCGTCCCTGTTGTTTTGATATAGTCTCTGAATGGGTGTAACAAAATATCGTACAATGTTTTTCCAGAAGAACTCCAGCCATGTGTTTGATCTGGTCGAGATCCACTGCAATTGACAAATTTCCTCCCCGCCCTCTTGTGAGATTTTAACCTTAATTTCTTTTTCCCCACTTCCTCTTTTTGTATTCTGTATTCTCTTGTTTAGACAGCTGTATGGCCTTATATAATTTAGATTTCTTTTTAATACAGTTGCCAAACTCACCCAGAGCCATAGCTCTGTTGAACCACCCATTCCACCTGTAGTAAGTAATTATTTTATGGAATTCTGTATAAATATTATTGATCTTATTAAAAATAAGATCATTAGCACTCCTATCTATTATTGTTTTATCTCTGGATGGTGAGGCAGCATTTTAGGTAGCCACACAATCTTAGACTGCTTTGATCCAGTAGAACTTTCAGAGTTAGCAACATTATTGTCTTCATCTAAGCCTTCAACTTGTATGTTAGATCCAGTTCCAACCAGGTTATTTAAGGAGGTATTCCCTTTGATCTCCTCCTCCATTTTAGATGTGTTGAAACTATCTCTGTAACAGGGATATGTACCAAAGGCTTTTAAGGTTGCTGTAATTAAACCTTTGCTTAAGAAACCGTCTCTTGACCCAGATGACTTGGTCAATTATCGCCCTATATCCAATCTTCCTTTCTTATCTTTAATTCTTGAGAAAGTAGTTGCCAAACAAGTGTGCGATCACTTACACCAAAATGAGTTTCAGTCTGGCTTTAGAGCTCATCAAAGCACTGAAACAGCTCTGGTGAAGGTTATTTTCATGGCCTCAGATAATGGACTTGTATCTGTGCTCGTCCTGTTGGATCTCAGTGCTGCATTTGATACAGTTGATCATAATATTATTTTAGAAAGACATGACTGTTTTGTTGGAATTAAATGAACAGCACTAGACTGGTTTAAATATTATCTATCTAATCGGTTTCAGTCCACGTTAATGACAAATCTTCCTCATGCTCAAAGGTTACCTGTGGAGTACCACAGGGATCAGTGCTAGGACCAATTCTCTTTACTTTATATATGCTCCCAATCGGTAAAATTATTAGACAGTATGGGATTAATTTTCACTGTTATGCTGATGATACCCAGCTATATCTGTCTATAAATCCAGATGAAGCTAACCCATTACATAGATTACAGGCATGTCTGTGATACAGGTCCTTCTCAAAATATTAGCATATTGTGATAGAGTTCTAGTTTTCACTAGATGTGGATGGCGCCAATGATCTCTGCATTGGATGGCGCACATGACGTGAAATAAATATGTATAAACATTAAACCGAAGCCAAGAGTAACGAGTAACATTTGTTTTAAAAATGTAAGGAATAGGAAGTACAGATACTTGTGTGAAAATGTAATGAGTAGAAGTCAGAAGTAGGAAGAAAAATAAGTAATGGAGTAAAGTATAGATACCTAAAAAGTGTACTTAAGTACAGTAACTTCGTTACTTGACACCCCTGGTGATACCATGGTCAGTAAACCATTTACCATTGGTTTTGGCACTGTGAGCAGGTACTTGGTTGTGCTGAAAAATGAAATCTTCATCTCCATAAAGCTTTTCAGCAGATGGAAGCATGAAGTGCTCCAAAATCTCCTGATAACTGCATTGTCCCTGCCCTTGATAAAACACGGTGGACCAACACCAGCAGCTGACATGGCACCCCAGACCAACACTGACTTGACACTGGACTTCTGGCATTTTGGCATTTCCTTCTCCCCAGTCTTCCTCCAGACTCTGGCACATTGATTTCCAAATGACATGCAACACTGAGCAACAGTGCAGTGCTGCTTCTCTGTAGCCCAGGTCAGACGCCTCTGCCGCTGTTTCTGGTTCAAAAGTGGCTTGACCTGGGGAATGCGGCACCTGTAGCCTATTTACTGCAAACGCCTGTGCACGTTAGCTCTGGATGTTTCTACTCCAGACTAAGTCTGGTCACCTCTTCTGGTTGTGCAGCATTTTCTGCCCAGTTTTCCTTCCCACAGACTTCCCACTGAGGTGCC